CTTCAGAGTGGAGAACAGATGTTTGGTGCCACCTTCAGTGGTGTTGCCCTGCCTGCTGCCCAGCTAGAGAGCAAGCGTCTCAGTGCTGCATAGTGCCGGTAGCGTGTGCTAGTGAGCAGCCGTAATTGCCTGATTCCCCAGTGAAAACGCGGAGGTGGGTGTTTTAAAGGACAAAACCCCCTTGGTTATAAAGGAACCAGCATGTCCTTCTTTGCTATGCCCAAGAACCGTGTCCGTCACAGCTCTGCAGATACCTCCCCACGGCGTGACAGGCAAGACAGGTGAGGAAAGCCCTGGATACAAACACAACACAGTTAGACAAAGTAGGCAAGACCTTAGGAAAAACTTCCTGTCCGGGTGGGGATAAGCTGCCTAGGGAGGGTGTGGACTCTCCATCCCTGGAGATGGATTGAAGAGCAGGCTGGACAGACACCTGTCAGGGATGATCTAGACGGGGCGTGGTCCTGCCGTGTGCGCAGGGAATGGGACTTGATGACCCCTTAAGGGCCCTTCCAGTTCTAGTGTTCTAAGCCTGTCTAAGAGAATATCTAGCATGGGACCAGCTTCTGTCGGGAGAGAGACAAGTATTCGAGCCCAACAGCTCCTCTTCCGTGTGTCTCAAAAGCACCAATCGGTCAAATGCACGATATTATCTCACCCGCCTTATCTTCAGGGTGGAATCTGCTGCAGCTAGTCTGTCAACACAGCTATGGGGAGGCAGGACCAGCCGTGTCCGTATCGTGGCTCAGTGGGCAGGTTCCTTCCCTGTGCCGGTCTGTTTCTGCCTGACTGAATGCAGAGAGCTACATCACCCGAGCCTGGGGAGGCGGCTGTTTAGGAATCCAGGAAGGAGAAAACCAGGACACAGCGACATCAGCCTCTCATACCTCGTCAGACAACGGGCTAGGACATCTGCTGGGGATGAGCCTCCAGACTAGGGTGGTTTATCTACCCAAGGACAGGGGTGAGATTCAAAGCCGCTGCGGGGTTATCAGGGGCTACTTGGCGGGGAGAAATGGCATGCGCATTTAGAAGTGGGCAGAGGGACTAGCAGCTGACACACTTATTTCAGAATAAGCTGTTTCAGAAGGAATACTCCGAAATAGCTTATTTCCAAAGAACACGTCTACATACAGGGAAGCCTCAGAATTAGTCCAAGGGAGCTTCCCGAATGTGGGCAGGCGACCTCGGTTTAGAGCCCCAGGAAGCACTGGGGAGTATCTACTGTGAGTGGCCCCGGGGGAGGAGCTATTTCGAAATAGCAGCAGTGGAGCGCCACACAACCCCTACTCCAATCTAGCTATTGTGGAAGAGGCATCACTCCTCGTGGAATGAGGTTTGCAGCATCCGGAATAAGCTGCTCGTTATTCTGAAATTATTTTGAAATAATGGGCTTGCCGTGTAGACGCTGAGGTCTGGTTCCCCTTTACAAAAGCCAGGGACTACATCATGTTGTAGAGCAGGCTTTTTCTGACCATGGCGTTCGTGTATAGCCCATTCTACCACACAAAGGCCACTCACACACTCTGAGAAAGCATAACTTGTAAGCGCACAATACAGCTTTCTGTAAACGGAATTTAACCTTGTAGGCATCTAAGAACAGGGAGGTGAGCATGAAAAGATAGAACACAGCTGCAAGAGATAAATAAGACTCTCTTGACCGGTCCTTGAAGGTAGGCATAGGGAGATAAGACGCAACTGCCATGCACACTGACCATGCCTGCACCCAGCACTGTCCACGGGGCCGTCAGGTGGGCATTATGAAAAATCCTATAGGGCAATATTGCACATTACCTCATTACCAGCCTATCAGGCCCGGCCAGGAAACAGACCCTAATAAGGTACCGGATATCAGGATCTCTTATAAAAGACCCTCGACCCCTTTGTTCGACAGAGGTTCAACGGAATTTAACCTTGTAGGCATCTAAGAACAGGGAGGTGAGCATGAAAAGACAGAGCACAGCTGCAAGAGATAGATAAGACTCTCTTGACCGGTCCTTGAAGGTAGGCATAGGGAAATGAGACGCAACTGCCATGCACACTGACCATGCCCTCACTCGGCTCTGTACACGGGGCTATCAGGCAGGCATCATGAAAAATCCTATAGGGCAATATTGCACATTACCTCATTACCAGCCTATCAGGCCCGGCCAGGAAACAGACCCTAATAAGGTACCGGATATCAGGATCTCTTATAAAAGACCCTCGACCCCTTTGTTCGACAGAGGTTCCGAGTGTTGAGGGCATGTGTCTTTTTTGCCCAGCTGAAGCATTAATCACCCTGGGGCTGCCTCTCCACCCTTCGAGTCAAAGATAGGGGTGCACGAGTCCTGAGCATGCTCCGAGTTCTAGTGTGTCTTTATGGTGTTATTGTTGCTGGATTTGTAAGTATTGCTTAAATATATTAGTTACTGGTTTAGTTAATAGTTGAATTGTGTTAATTTCACTGTGTAATTCTGTCAAGTGTAACTGAGTTCTATTAACCACACTGTGTAAATTGTATAATCTTGTGTTGTGTAGTGATGTTGTATTTAGGCCAAGTATAAGTGTTAGAAATAGTAACCCTGGAGTTGTTAAGTTGTAAAAGTAGATTTATGACTAACTCCATCAGCTGCCCTAAAATAACCGTAGAGGGGCTGGCTGTGGACAGCGTTTTTATTATATTGGCTTTGTTTTTGTATTTTTGCTTGCATGCTGCGCAGCTTTGAGCGAATTAGAGAGAGTGATTTAATATAATCGAATTATAATCACAAAGTTTGTAATCAGTTAAGTGCAGTTTGGTTCAGTTTTCCCCTCCTGTAAAAAGCATTGGGCAATTGCTAGTTTAAAAAACCCATTTGCTAATTGTTGGTTTTGATAAAAGAATCATTCCACTTAATAAAGATCATTTGTTTTACACCATCATCCAGTAGTTTTCACTGGGTAATTGGCTTTAGCCCTTGAGGCTCCCACCACATCACCGAACCAAGGTGTAACACATCAGTATTTTTCAAGTTGCTGAAATGCTCCTAGAACACTGCGCACAAACTATACATCGTCCACCCCGTTGCTGTCGGTCCCTCGGCCGGGGGTTGGCAGGAGTGTTCATGTGCATTGTTTTTCCCACTTTGTCTCCCTCCAGCCTCATGGAAGCTAAAAACCAAACTACGGCGTTTGTGATGGTGGGGCTTGTCACTCATCCAGAACTTCAGAGCTTGCTCTTCGTGGTGACTCTCGTCATGTACGTGGTGTCCTTGGTGGGGAATACCCTAATCAGTGCCGCCGTGTGCCTCGACTCGGCCCTTCACACACCCATGCACTACTTCATCTCCAGCCTGTCCTGGGTTGACATCTGCTACACCACCGTCACCATCCCCAAGATGTTAGAGAGCCTGCTTTCACAGGGCACAACCATCTCCTTCACGGGCTGTGCTGCCCAGCTGTACTTCCTGGATGCACTTGGGACTGCCGAATGCTTCCTCCTCGCCGCCATGGCGTACGACCGCCTCCTGGCCATCTGTCACCCGCTGCGGTACGCGGTCCTCATGAGCACGTCCCGGTGTGCCCAGCTGGTGGTTGGCTCCTGGGCCAGCAGCTTGCTGCTTTCCTTGGGTCAGACCTTGTTCATCTTCACCCTGCCCTTCTGTGGGGAACACCGGATCAACCACTTCTTCTGTGACGTCCCGCCCCTCTTGGGCCTGGCCTGCGGAGACACCACCATGAACGAAGTCGCCGTCTTCGTGGCTGGGATGGGCATTACGCTGATCCCATCGATGCTGATTGTGGGGTCTTATCTCCACATCATCGCCACCGTCCTGAAGATCAAGTCAGCCCAGGGCAGACGCAAAGCCTTCTCCACCTGCTCCTCTCACCTCCTCGTCATCACTCTCTTCTACGGCTCGGCCAGCGCCATGTACCTGCGGCCCAAGTCCACCTATGCCCCAGAGAGTGACAAATTCCTGGCCCTGCTGTACTGTGTGGTGACACCCACATTAAACCCCATTATCTACAGCCTGAGAAGCAAGGACATCAACCAAGCCGTGGGGAGGGTCATCGCCTACAAGATATTGAGGTGAGCCGAGGAACGGGATCCAACTCTCCTCTTCCTCACGGCAGCGTAATGACAGCACTGCTCCATCTTCATGGGAGCTGACCCAGTTTTGAAGGTTCTCAGGGGGGTGGGTCATTGCTGAAGGCAGGGGGTGAGTAGGAGTCTTTCATGTGATCTGTCTGATGCCACCAGCCATTCTGTCACTCATGAATGGGGCTACTCCAGTTCTACCTTCCCAAAGCAGGTTATCAAGACGTGCCCTCCGCCCCATCCTTGATCCCCACAGAAACCAGGCTGCAGCTGTGAGCACTTGCAAGCAGCCGAGTGGAGGGGTATTTAAGAGAGGTTTAAGGAAGGGAATGGTGGAAACAAATGGGAGCCAAGCAACACAAAATAGGAACTCATGTTTGTACTTATCCAAAGTTACCTTTCCGAGCTAGTAAGTCAGACACACCTCGCCCCCACCGCCTCCCCAACCACCTTGGACACCCCGCTGGCGGGTTGCTCAGTGTATTGCCCTCACCCCATGCTGCAGGGTTCCCGCAGTCCCAGCCTCTGGGAAAATACAGAGGAATCATTTCACTGCCCTGCCTTTGCATTATCATCCTCCAGCAACTCTTGGCCCCGTCTGAGACCAAGGGACTCGCTGGGATAGGCCTTGTGCAAGAGTTGGATGTTTTCCAAGCAGAAGGACTCGAGTGTCAGTTCCCGTTAAAATACATTTACTAATCTCAGCCTAAATAGACACACAGAAGAAAACGAGAACTGGAAGGGACCTCGAGAGGACATTCAGTGCAGTGCCCTGCCCTCACAGCAGCACCTAGCACTGTTTAGGCCATCCCTGACAGGTGTCTGTCTGACCTGCTCTTAAATATCTCCAGGGATGGAGATTCCACAACCTCCCTAGGCAATTTATTCCCATGTTGAAGCACCCTGACGGGCGGAAAGTTTTTCCTAATGTCCAACCTAAACCTCCGTTGCTGCAGTTTAAGCCCATTGCTTTTTGTCCTGCCCCGAGAGGCCAAGGGGAACAATTTTTCTCCCTCCTCCTTGTGACACCCTTTTAGATACCTGAAAATCACTATCATGTCCCCTCTGTGTTCTCCTTTCCAAACTAGACAGGGGAGTCTTTATTTTCCACGTTTTGCAGATGTGGGACCGAGGCAAACTGTGCAGGTGTTAGGAACTGAATTCTCACATGGATGATCAGCCTCATATCTTAGCACATGAAAGAACTTTACAGACACTAACTGAACTTCACAATGCATCAGATGCACCTGGAGGGTCTTCCACCTGTGACTTTGCCTAGCCCAATTCTGCTTAATGATCTCTATCATGGGATCACTCAATAGCATTGTCCTTGGGAGAGGCATAAATATTATCCTTTCCATTGTATACAGGGGCAGGCTCCGGAAAAATGCCTTCCCACCAAGGTGTGCCTAGGAAGACCAGTGCAGGTATCTGGGAATATGTTGGGAGCCATTTGTATTCCAGTTCTGGGCCTCCTGAGAAGGAGGGGGAACCCTGGAGATTCCACAAAATGACATCATAAAAGAACAGTGGTGGATTCTAGTGAAGCATCTATTTCTTCCTCAGACCACTCACCAAGCCAGGTTGGTCTCTGCCAGTTTGTGAATGGGGAGTTCATGAATTGAGAGTTTATGAATGGGGAGTTCATGAATGAGTTTTTGTGAATGGGGAGTTCATGAATGGGGAGCTCTCAAAGAACAGCCTAAGAGAGCATAGTGTGGTTGACTCTTTTGTGAGCACTCTCCAATACTGGCCACTTTGCTCCACCCCCTCTCTATGGAACAATGCACTGCAGCAAGGTACTCAGAAGAGGGCACTCTCCCCCTAACAGTCAGAGCACCCCAATGTCCTGAGTGGTCCTAGGGATGCTGTGTGGAAGGGAGGAGATGGGGGTGGGGGGGTGACATAAGCCTGGGACCTGGCTTATTGCAATAAAACCAAATAGCTCTCTTTGGAGCTCTCCCAACAGCGCATTAAGGGATCACCGCCTAGAAACGCCGACTAGGGGAACGGAGATTTGAACATGGGCTTCCCAAACTTTTTGGCATCATGCCCCCCTTTTTGATTTTTGAAAAACCCTCATGCCCCCCCCCCATCTCCCAAAATAGCAGCAAAACTTAATGGGGGCTGAGAGGGGCCAGGATGCCTTGTGCCCCCCTGAAATTTCTTCACACATCCCGAGTTTGGGAACCCAAGCTATATAGGAACATAAAAGCGGCCAGACTGGGTCAGACCAATGGTCCATTCAGCCCAGTGTTCTGTCTGCCCACAGCGGCCAATGCCAGGTCCCCAGAGGGAAGGAACAGAACAGGGAATCCTCACATGATCGCTCCATTGTCACCCACTTCCAGACAAACAGAGGCTAGAGACACAATTCCTACCCATGCCGGCTAATAGATTCATGGAGGTTGCATCCATCAGTGGCTATTTAGCTCTTTTTTGAACCCTGCTCAAGTCCTGGTCTTCACCGCATCCTATGGCAAGGAGTTCCACAGATTGATTGTGCACTGTGTGAAGGTATAGATACAGGCAGAGGTATAGATCAGTGGTGGACAATCTGTGATAGCATGCAGCTCCTCAGGGTAAGTGCTGGCAGGCCACAAGACAGGTTGTTTACCTTATATCTGCAGGTACAGCATCCCACAACTCTCATTTGCCATGGTTCATGCTTCCTGGCCAATGGGAGCTGTGAGCAGCTATACTTGTGGAAGCAAGGCAAACAATCTGTGTGGCGGCCCACCAGTAGCTTACCCTGGTGCGCTGTTTGTTATTGGCAGGCTGCCCACCACTGATACAGAGCTCTTCTGTCTCAATTGGACTCCGTTAGCTCTGTCACCATGCAGAGAGCTGGTCTCCACCTGAGATGACTCCTGTGACTCTGTGTTTTCTAAGCACTGAAGCCTGCTTGCTTTCTACACACCCCACACAAGCTCTCACCAATTGCTATCTATGAGTTGACTGTGTGGTGCAGGGTTTGAGGCTGATGTTAGGTGCATTAGTGAGGGTAGCTGAGTGGCCAGATCAGGAGTGACTTTGCCCCATGTGCATTGCTACATCCTAATTGCAACAAATAGTACTGGGAAGTGAGGAGACCACATCTGTACACATTATTCAAGATGTGGGCGTAATATAGTTTTATACAGGGGCAATAAGATATTCTGTATCTTATTTTCTGTCCCTTTCTTAATTTCTAGCATCCTATTTGCCTTTTTGACCGCCGCTGCACACTGTGTGGAAGTTTTCAGAGAACTATCCACGATAACTCCAAGATCTCTTTCCTGATTTGTCATAGCCAAATTAGCCCCCATCATACCATACGTTTAGTTGGGGTTATTTTTCCCGATGTGCATTACTTTACACTTATCCACATTAAATTTCATTTGCCTTTTTGTTGCCCAATCACTCAGTTTAGTGAGATCTTTTTGAAGACAGACAGACAGACATTTCTAAAATATATAGTAGAGCTCTGTATCAGTGGTGGGCAGCCTGCCAATAACAAACAGCGCACCAGGGTAAGCTACTGGTGGGCCGCCACACAGATTGTTTGCCTTGCTTCCACAAGTATAGCTGCTCACAGCTCCCATTGGCCAGGAAGCATGAACCATGGCAAATGAGAGTTGTGGGATGCTGTACCTGCAGATATAAGGTAGACAAATCGCTTGATCATTGTCTTTGGTCCACCCCATCTGGAGCACCTGGTGCTGGCCACTGACAGCAGACAGGCTACTCGGGTAGATGGACCTTTGGTCTGACCCAGTACGTCCGTTCTTATGTTATTGTGACGTGGGGGGGGGGTGCCTTGCTAGGGCTGTGGCGGCCTCTGCTGTCTGGTCATTATGCAAAGGGGGCTCCCAAACTGTATGACCAGTTAACCCCCAGGGGGAGAAACAAAGGAAGGTGGGATGCCGCCCCTGGCTGGGAGGCAGGGCTGGAGGAGAGTTAGTTTAGTTTGTCTGGGAGCATGGAGTAAGCAGCCTCAGCAACAGGCTGGGGGGGGGGTTTGAAAGACTGTGGCGGCCTCTGCTGTCTGGTCATTATGCAAAGGGGGCTCCCAAACTGTATGACCAGTTAACCCCCAGGGGGAGAAACAAAGGAAGGTGGGATGCCGCCCCTGGCTGGGAGGCAGGGCTGGAGGAGAGTTAGTTTAGTTTGTCTGGGAGCATGGAGTAAGCAGCCTCAGCAACAGGCTGGGGGGGGGGTTTGAAAGAGAGAGCCCTGGCTGGGGGGCAGGGCTGGAGGAGAGTTAGTTTAGTTTCTGTCTGGGGGGAGAGAGGAAGCAGCCTCAGCAAAAGCTGGGGGGGTTAGAAGCCGAGACCCCTGCCCCATATGAAGGGGGGCTGAGGCATCCTAGGCCTGCCCTGTGGCCTGATGACATCTGTGCTGTGCTGTATACTGGAGAGGCAATGGACCACCTCTGTTCTGCTGGCTGGCGGAGTCTGTTCATGCCATTTCGGGGGTGCAGGAGACAGGGGACTCCCAACGTGCCGTCAGTTATGTTCTGTGAGTCTGTGTGTTCAAGAACTCCTAAATGGTAAGAGGTAGGGCCACAAAATTGGGTCTGCAGCTTCCTCTTCTAACGTAAAGCAAGGTCAGGGTTTGGTTGTGCCAGGACAACGGGGAGTGCCGGGAATGGGACTGTTTCCCATCACATGGAAAGGGAGGGGCACAGAGTGGTGGGACGTGATACTGAGAGTGGCCACTGGGGCAGTGAGCACAGAGGAAAGCTGTCCTGCAGAGTGACCACTGGGGGCAGCCGCACCACCAAGAGAGCAGCCAGCAGGGGCTGGGACTCTTGACTTCTTGGCTGCCACCAGACAGGGTGAGTAGCTCCCCTGCTCCAAAGCCACAGCACAGGAAGGGGAGAGAGAAAAGGCCCCTGGCAGCTGGGGAGCAGTGGCAGGGGGAAGGGTATAGAAAAGGCCCCGGTCACTGGTGGAGGGAGAGAATGGTCCACATGGGACCTCCCCCCAAGACCTCTCACCCCCTAACCATCATTCTTGCACCTCCCCACCCCAACCCTCCTTCCCTGACCCACATCCCCAAGGCCCTTCCCTGACTCCTGCGGCCCCCACACTGCCAGCCCCCTGCCTTGAAGGCCCCAGGCAATGGCGGATAGTTCTGCTAGTACAGATATAAGTGGAAATGAGAAACCAGGGGTGAACTTTGATTTGTCTGTAAAAGGCGTTAGAGAGACGACGGCGCTGTAGAATAAACACGTGTCTCAGAGAGAATAAGGGTCACTCCCCACCCTTGATGCGACAGACATGTGCCAGGCCCCATAGCAGACAGGAGAGGGGGTCGTGGCAGGATAGCGGGTCCATTATCCAACGTATGTGGAGTGAGCCCAACGCCCCCGTTGGTTCAGAACCATGGACAAGTCTTGCCATGCTGTTCAGTTTGGAGAAGGAAAATCATTTGATTGCAATAGTTCACACCCTGCAGTATGGTGCGTGCCTAGCAGTAAATACGGATGCGTATACACTTCTTATAGCAAAGAAATAAAACCACCAAGAACATACAAACAGTGGCATTTCAGTGGGGTTTTTTTAATGGAAACAATCTGACGACACCACCACAAATTTGCAAAAGGCTTCCATGTGGCTGAATCGACATTTCCTTCAGAAAACCGAGTGACCAAATGTTGCAGTTTTACTCTGGTGTCCCGGCCTGGTGCCCTCCCGAGGAGCCGCATGGCAGCTCTAGAGACCCTGCGATACCCCCTTTGCTGCTCAGGAGCGGCGAGTCCATGATGCCTGAGGTGTGGAGACTAGTGAGCAGGGAGATATTGTGTGTGTAGTGACCTCTGGAAAGGCTAAGCTTCTGGGGAAAACCCTCAGACCTGGGGCCCCTTTGGGGTGCCTAGAGGGGATACAGGACAAGAGGGACCCCCTGTCTAATACCGCTATGTAGAATGGATACAAAGCCATGGGGGGCTGCCTGGGGAGGCCACCAGGCTGGGTGGACAATTGGTTTCCAGCAGGGATGTAACGTGTGAACCATTGATCGGCCGCTGTGAGTAGGGGTGAAGCTGGCAGGCAGGATGTCCCAAAGGCCTTGCCCATTGCATAGAAAGGATAAAGGCAGAGAGCCACTGTCTGTCGTTTCTACAGAATCGAAGCGATACAGGGCAAGTAGGGACAGTTTCTCTGGTGCAGACTGCGGAAGGCGTAAAGGAATGGACGGTCTATTGATTCGTTAGGACTAGCGGGACAATTGTTCTGATCCCGTGTGCTGAAGGGAGGCAAGGATGGATGGACCATTGTTCTAGATCCCAAACTCCATGATCTGTCCTGGTCTGGGATAACAGACTGGTGGAATTCTCTCCAAACTTCTTAGCTTGCCTAGAACATCTGATCCAGCCCTGGGGCTAGAACTCCTTATCTAATCCCGGGGTGGGAACATTGGATCCAGTCCCAGGGAGGAAATTCCTTATCCAGTTCTCTAGAATCCACCAAACTGTTCAAATCCTCACTCAGCCCTGAGGTCTCTTTACTGGCCTTTACTACAGCTACCCCTGCATGGACCAGGCTCAGGTGTAGGGTGGGTGCGTTCAGTTCCACCCCAACTCCAAAGGAGCTAATTGTAAATCCAGTTGCACGCATGTTCTCACAGACTAGCACGTGTGCGTGGCATTCCATCACATGCTCCGTGAGGGGCTCACCGACTGTGCGGGCCAGTCCCTGATAGATGGTGAACTATCGGCGTGTTAGGGAATGAGTGAGTGAGTAAAGCTGTAGCTACCACATTATTGCACTTCCTTCGTCTACCAGATACATATTATTTGCAAGGCCACTTGTGAGTTCCTGCTGTGTCCACTGCTGGCTGGTGTCCTTTTGCCTGTTTCCTTCCATTGCTCATACAAGGCCTGTGCCGACACCCTTCCCCATTGTCTTCCTCAGGGCAGCGATCACCTCCTTGTTCCGGAGGCTGTAGATGAGGGGGTTGAGGACGGGGGTGACAGTGATGTAGAAGACGGAGCTGGTTTTGAGCTGCCCCACGGAGGAGCTAGAGCTGGGTGTCAGGTACATGGAAATCACTGTCCCAAAGAACAGGATGACCACGAGGAGGTGGGAGGAGCATGTGGAAAAGGCCTTCTGCCGCCCGGCAGCGGAGGGGATGCTGAGGACGGTGCCAAGGATGCGGGCGTAGGAGAGGAAGATTAAGGAAAGCGGGCAGACCAGCGTGACCACACAGCTCACAGACATGGTGGTTTGGGCTTGCTCCCTCCCTGCACAGCTCAGACCCACCATGGCCGGCATCTCGCAGAGGAAATGGTCTATCTCCCTGTGCCCGCAGAAGGACAGCTGGAGGGTGGACGCGGTGTTGACGGCAGAAATTAGGAAACCGCCTGCCCAGGATGCGGCTGCCCTGGGATGCGGCTGCCATGGCGACGCACACCTGTTTGGCCATGAGGAGTGGGTAGTGCAGCGGGCGGCAGATGGCGACATACCTGTCGTAGGACATGACAGTGAGGAGGAAACATTCTGTGATGCCAAAGGAGAGGAAGAGGAACATCTGGGCCATGCAACGGGCCAAGGGCATGGTGCCGCGCTCTGCCAGGAGGTGGGCCAGCATCTGGGGCAGGACGCTTGAAGTGTAGCCGACCTCCAGGAGGGAGAGGTTGGCGAGGAAGAAATACATGGGGGTGTGGAGGAGAGGGGAAGCCCAAACCAGGAGGGCGGTGAGCAGGTTCCCAAGCAGGGTCACCAGGTAGAGGGTGAGGAATCCCGCAAAGAGGGCCAGCCGGACCTCTGGACGGCTGGAGAGACCCAACAGGATGAACTCCTGGGGCAGGGAGGTTTGGTTGCCTTCTCCGGTCCTGTGCATTCTGTCTGCAGGAGTAAAGGTAAAAAGGGAATGAACATCCTCAGCTACCCAAGCCACAAGGCAGGGGGAGGTAACTTCTTTTGTGAGCCAGTCCTGGCTGGCACCCCAGTCTGGGTTGGATTGACCCTCCCTACCACCGCGTGAGATCAGGCAATGCCGTTATGTCCCAGATGTGGAACTGAGGCACCTGGGGGATGTCTACACCACATTGTAAGCCTGGG